AGATTTCTCACTTTCACAAATTCTCTTTTATTCCCATTTTTTTTCTTCAGCAGAATTTAAACTAACAAGGAATCTATTCCTGTTGTACGAGCCAACAGTCTGTTTCTCTCCACAGGGGGATATACTGTATAGTAGCATAAAACCTAAAAGAATAAAATAAGAATATAAACATTCTCATGTATAAGATCTCATGGATTTTTTTCTGCATGCAGATTCTTTTTACCTTTAGGTACCGTAATATGCAAAGGTTTTAGTCCCTTTGGAAGTTTAAATTCTTATCATCACACAAACCCATCAGAAATTAACCTGATTATAACAAGATTCGTGCTGTTAGACTGAATCCAAGCTTTTCAAAAGACACTCTCAGGTGTCAAAGTTGTGCCGATGATGCTCCTTTGAATCGCTCACCTCAGCGTGCACTCACTTTTCAACAGTAACTGTACATGTTTTTATTTATGTTTGCAGTGACCAGTGTGTCCCCTGAAGTACTAGATGACGGGAGCCAGCTAGTGAGTCAGTTCTCTCAGCTGTGTGGAAACTGGAATCCAGGCGGTTGGACTGTCAGGTAAGGAACAGCTAAGTAGCAGCTAGCAATGGTGTTTTGATTTCATTGTAGAGTTCAAACTCCTGGACTTCCTGTCTTTTTTATGTCAGGTGTTCACAGCTGGAGCTTCATGGATGCGTCCTTAGAGAAGTGTGTGTTAGGATCCAGCGGGATGGAGAAGCTCAGGACACTCCTTTCAACTGCAGGGTTGGAGAAATAATGGTGAGACTGTTGGAGCCAGTTGTGCTCAATGTGTTTCATGCATTGTGTGTTGTTTGAGATGCAGGTAAAAATGGGATGTCTTGGGGGTTATATTCTGGCATTTAGAAATTTGTCAGTTTTTCAAAAGATCAAGTTCAAATGAAAAAAGTATTTCCATCAAGGTATTTCTACTGCAATCCATGCACATTAGCCCTTTTTTCTTTAATTGAATTTAATGTTTGAGTTTCAAATAAGTGAGAGCACTGCACTGCTCATTCATTGCTACTGAAGGACAAAATCCTTCTTCAACCCCTTCGACTTCCAGAGTTTTTACTGTTCAGTTTATGCCAAGTTCTTTCAGTAATTACACCTCAGCCAGCACTTTAAATGTCATAATCTTTCCAGTTTGTTTTATTTACTGAAAGACTGACAGCCCAGCCTAAACTTCAGCTCATCTTTCCTTTGTCTTTATTTAACTCCTTCTTTTAAACTGATAATTCACTTCATACTTACACTTATATGTATTTCAACTGCAGTTGTTTGCAAAAATTTCAGCAGCTTCTTCAAGAGATTTATTCTTTCCTTTTCTCTGATAACGCCTCCCGTTTTAATCATTCATCTTCACCCATCCTCTCCCACCTGCTCTGTTTCTCCGTACAAGATTCTGGATGTGGCCAGTCTGCAGGTGCAGCCACAGCCGGTTCAGGGCTTGTGCATTGACGACGTGGTTTGGCTGCGAGGTGCCGGTACCTCTCCACAGTCCACCTCTCCCAGCCTGCGCCTCAACGCCACTCTGCGCTGGGACTACCCGACTGATCTCGTACGCCACTTCAAGGTGTATTGGCGACGGCTGAGAGGACCCGATCCCCGAATCCCTCCAGGTCAGCTGGTGCAGGTGGGCCGGGCGTATTCTAATCTGTTCAGGGTGACGGAGCTGGTTGTGCCGGAGCCGCCCTCCCTGCTGGAGCTGGTGGTGGAGCCGGTGATCAGGAAGGGCTTCCTCGTTCCTGAGAGCCACTGGGGAAGAAGAAGCCTCAGCTACACGGCGGACGTAACGCAGTGATTTTACACAAGTTGTTCAACGGTGCTTCTCCACGACTCTTTCATCGGTGCTGCTTCTGCAATCGCAGCTCTGATGCAAAACTCAGCATTTCCATGTTGGAGCCTAAATGCTCTTCCTCACCTATTTGTTATTGGCTTAGCAAGTTTGGAGGACAGATTTAGAGGCCTTCTAACAACCGTCAACTGTATGCTGGAGCTGATCTCCACCACAGTTGTTGGCTCTTCTCATTCTCTGGATACATGAAAGTGAAGCTATTGACCGAACGCTGTGATCAAATATATGTTAATCTGCTTGAATTATTGCTTATCATGCTTTGTTTTACCTCTTTCAGTCAATCCAAAGCTTTCTACCATATCACAGAGTTTTCATCAGGTCCACAGATGCAGCTCCATGACAGCAGGACTAACGGCTAAAGAAACAGTTAAAAGGGCGAGTCTGCATTTTAGGAATGCCCCCTATTCACTTTATCATCTATATATGTATGTATGTATGTACGAGAAGGGAAAAATTATACGTCTGAATTCCAGGAGATCTCCAGCTTAAATGTGCAGCTAAAGGGAACATTGGTGGCTCGGAAAAATCAGAAATTATGTCAATGATGTCGACATAGAGCAGAATCTCAAAGGAACGTCTCCAACAGCCGAAGGAATCCACAACACCAAGGACTGAGGCTATTTTGACAGGCGCTGCTCACTGTTAGTATGGTTTCTAACATAGTGCTGCTCAGTGAGTGTATACAATACTTAATATGCTGTATGAAATCACTGGTATTTTTTTACACACTGTTCATGATCTGTTTACTGTTCATTTATTCAATTTCGTTGACTTAACCAGAATGATGAGCAAACAAATTGTTTAACCGAAGGGAAAATTTTCAAAATTTTTCATTATAGGGTTTTTGAAAAGTGCTACAGGAATTATTAAGCCTCTATTTAAAAATCAAAACTCTGCAACCTGTGATCACCAGAAGTTAAGTTCTGCTGTATTTTCTATTCAGAATTTACATGCCTACATCCATTTCCCTCTTTTCAGGGTGACTTCTGAAGACGTGTGTTATAGTAAAGGCAGTCAATATTTATGCAGGTTTTTATTTTGACTAGATTTTTTTGTTACTTAAAGTAAAGATGCACTTTAATCTCATGGCTGGTTTTACTTCACTGCACAGCGTTTTACTGCAGTGTATGTGCTTTCTGTAAACAAGACTGAAAGTGTTCATTAACTCGCAGCTCTGAGAGGTGGGATTAACTTGACTGTAAAATGCTAACGTCAGCTTGTGGATTTCTACCACAGTCAGCCTCTAAATTCATCGTGTTAGTCTGCTAACATGAGACTGAAAACCAAAGTTTTGCTTGTTTAACAGTTTGATCCGATGAAAGTGCCTCAGGACAAGTAATAAGATCATTTAAATAACAAATTATATCTTAAAGGTGGATGTAAAAAAGTTTGTATCAAATTACATAGACATGCACAAGTCAAGACTTCAATCTAAGCCAAAATCTCCACATCCATATCAATTGTCTTCTGGGGACCACGATGAGTGTCCCTATTAAAACTTTATGGCATTCTGTCCATTAGCTGTGGTCAAGAAGGACCTTTGCTTGAACCCTGCATTACCAAAAACCTGCAAAAATAGCTTTACAATATGCATGTCTGTGTAATTACCTTAACTGCAGCTGGTGTGTGTATCACATAAATGTTATGCTTTGGATTATTAATTAACTTTTTGTATGTGACAACAGACATGAAGCTACAGTAGTATCATAAGTTGAAGAAATTTTCTTCCACCACCCCAAATATATCGACAATTGTGAAAATGATGTAAACCATTTTGGCTGTGCATGTTATCTAAGGTTTGCAACTTACATTCAAAACCGAAAGAAACTTTTACTTGCACAGGGCTGTGCTCATATCTTAGGTTCTTAGATGAACTGTTTTCAAACTGTTTGGCACCACACTAGAGAACAAGCCAAGGCAGCACTTAAAAAAAACAAAGCTCATCTTTATTGGTCTTGTGACAGAAATTTAAAAAAAAAATGATTGAAATCAACCAAGATTGTTAATTTGGTTTAGCAGGGAGACAAATATAAAAACATCATGTGATTATTGTGATTGTCGGAGCCATTCCAGCTGGCGTCAGATTGGGGGAATCAGTTCTGCTGCGTGATCATCTTCAGCATCTGCAAGGCCATAGGTCCTTGGTCTGAGGGAATCTGTGACGGTAGAAACAAGAATAGAAATAAAACAAATGTGATCTTATATTTTTATGTTGAAATTCTCACGCTATTTTCATAATTAATGTTACTTCATTTTTTTGTTTCTTGAGGGAGTAGCTGATGAGCTTATCAGTTACTAAATACAAGCTGATATCAGAATCAATTTGTGCTTTCTATGTCACATTATATCCATTGATTCATTGCATAGTTATGACTCAGCAATATTTCTGTTTGTTTTCTGTGTGAAAGGTGCTACAATAAAGATGTGTGTTTTAGTTAACTTGTTAACTGTGTTATTTATAATTCCAGATTCAAAAATGTATGTCTACGCAAGATATAGCGTGAAAAAGACAACATCCATTTCACATCCTACTTTTTCCTCTACTTGCAAAATATGCCAACTTGTATTTTGCTCTGTTTTTGGACTATGAGACTCCAAACTGGTGTTAAAAGACTACATGAAACAAGATTAGCCACTAAAAAGCCTGCAAAGTGAAGTACGATGAAAAAGGTGGCAGGACTGCGAGGACGGCTGTCATTTATCGAAGCCTGTGGCTCACATTAGATGCACTGCACAGACAGAGGAAGTGGGAAAAGCAGACTGTTTTCAAGAGTGAATTTGATGAAACTGCTTCTTTTCTGCAATGTTTATCAAAACGCAGCTGGCGGGGATTTTACCAAGTAACCACAAGTCTGGCTGATTTCTTTTTTCAGCTTTAGTGGCTCAAGAATACCTTGTGTTTAATGATAAAATGACTGAGTAAACTTCACAGTTTCAATTTGTTGCCGCTGTTGTTTAAGTTAGCTTACATTAGGAGCAGCCACATTCAGGCAAGAACAACCTTAAATGGGACTGAGCTCACTTTTAATAATCACCTTTTCTCTTCTAAACAACACTCTTCTGATCTACCGGACTTCTGCAGGTGCCGCATGAAACCATCAGCACATGACAGCCTGCTTTGGAGTTTACGGGTCTCTGAGAGCATTTTGTCTGACAAACAACATCCAATGTTCATCACTTGGTTCGTACAATCTCTAAAGCGAAGCATGGTGGTGGCAGCATCATGCCATAGGGGTACGTTTGGAAATGAGAACGTTTGACTTTTAATAAATTTTCAAACATTTTGAGTATCTTCTTTTGCATCTCACAAGCAGATCATGTATTTGAGACCAACTCAAGGCATCAAAAATAATTACCATGCTAAATTTGGTCCAAATGTAACTGTACATGTCCTAAAGTCTTGGTATTTCTTAATTGTCTAATTCATTAGCATCAGGATGCCCCAAAGACCAACAGGAGTTATATACACACAGGTACCACAAGGTGAATATCTATTGCTTTGGAGTGCGGTGAGTCTGTCACTTAAACGGAAGATATTTTAGTAACTGCATCCTTCGAGATAGGGTCTTACCATGTGACCGGCTTTGAGGATCCAATAGAAGGCAAAGTTCTTGTAGCCCTTGTAGAAAGCTCCAGTAATGCCCGGGGAGGCCGGGTCGTCCAGGGGCGTCCACCTCAGCTGGTTAAAACTAGGAAGCCCCTTCCACTTCAGCCGTTTTACCCACATCTCCTGTCCTGTGAGGAAAAAGCACAGATCCATGTGGCACAGCTCTTTTCCGTAGAGATGGAACACCTAATGGCATTTATCGTTGAGCCAGAGATGATTAGAATCAGCTCATAGATGTAACAAACAGATCCTGCCTTAGGTCTTCTTTATTTTCACATCTGCGGCCCAGAATGTAGCATGTTAGGTAAGTTACCCATGGTGTCCACTATGAGATCCAGCTGTCCGTTGTAGATGGTGACGTTGACTCCGGCGTTCAACAGCTGATCGACTACGTCCACCACTGGCTTCATAAAATCCCCGGCCATGTTGCTGAACACTTCTTCTGCCTGGCCTACACACAAAAAAAAGATAGTAGAGGGGAAAAAAGGGAATGGATTCAAAGATGATTCAAGAATGTAGAGTAAAAGTATCTAAAGGGACACAGTCCAGCTACAAGATAGAATACCTCCCCAGGTGACATTCTGTGGGATTATGACCAGTTTCTTCCTTATTGGTCCATTCATCAGCTCACTCAGTGATCTGCCCTGGAGGCGGTGAACGTGGCGTCGTACCTGCAGAGCTGGTGGAAAGGCAAAGAACAGTTGGTTAACTGTCAAAGTGGAGAAATGTGAGTAATGCAGATTTAGGTTTAATTGGATTTTATCACTGGGCATGGTGCCCTACCGATGTAGTCTTCTCCCTCAGATAAGGTGAGCTTCTCATCCGGCTCCTGGGTGAGGATGTTGTAGAAGTTGACGCCATTGGTGTTCTGACATGAAAACCAAAAGTAATACAGAATAGCACATTAAAAGTACATCATCTCTGTATCTATAATGGGTTGCAATGATGGAATGCAGCAGGAAGATTTAACTTGTTTAACTGTTTAAGACACACAGAGAGTTCCCAAATAGAGGCCAGTCGTCATGCAATAAAAAGATCATAAATATTTTCTTAAACAAGTTGAAAAATTGACCAAAATGTGGACTTGTTAAAACAATAGGTGGACATTTTGGGAAATTCACTTGGCTTTTTGCCAAGAGTCACATTGAAAGATTGTCTTCTGTGCGCTATATACATACATATATATATAAATAAATACATAAGGCTATAGCCAGCAGCCAGTTAGCTTAGCTTAGCATAAGGACAGTAAATAGGAAGAAACTGCTTGTCTGGATAAAGGTAATAAAATCCAACCATTAACACTTCTCCTCTAACATCAAGTAAAGCTACATTACTGTCGGTGAAACCCAACTCCTATTGCTGATGCTGTAAATCAAATGCAGGTGTGGATTACAGAATTTGAGTCACTGCAAGGCTCCTAATGTGAAACATCTACGTGGGAATAGCAGTGTTTTATTGACAGTAGCTTAACCGAAAATGATATTTCTGTTAAAGAAGATCATCTTTAACACTAAAATACTTGAGAATTTACAACATACATCTGGCAATTTTACATTATACAGTGTATTACAGTGTACAGTTCTTTCTGTCTACTGATAATACACTATGAATAGCTCCATTTACACTAAAGCATAAATCTGACAGCATCAAGCCTTTGCCGTGAGCCCTCCGGTGTCGCACCAACCTGCTCCACCACCGTCTCTGTCACAGACCACAGCTCGGTGGCTTTAGAGAATTGCTGGGCCTCCACAGCTTGCTTCACGGCGCCTGCCGCATTGTTGACATCCGCCAGGCCGTAATCATCCAGCAGCGACTGTCACAGCAAGTCAGATGCATAGTTAACACGGCAGCTTGGCTTCAAACCAACAATGAGAGACGTTTGTCCTCTTGTCTGTTACTTACGGTAGTGTAGAGGTACGGTCCCCATGTCATGACTGAGTCTGTGGATAAAGCAGAAGTCTTACTGAATGGTCTCTATTTTATCCGAAAAGCAAGGTAAACATTTCAACAGCAGAACTTGACTGTACTTCCTTCAAAATTCTGGTGTTTTCATTTTCACTTTTTAGGGAAAAGCAAGACAGAAAAGTCTGTAATTCATTAATAAGGACGAATTACTGAATTCAAATTCAAAATTGATTCTTATTGTTTGCTCGTTTGTTCAAACAGGAGTAATATTCCTTCTCTTCCTAAGATTAATATTGCAGCACATTTTACTGAAAGAAACCTCGAGTGAGGTCTAGCATATACTCTCTCAGTATCAACAGTGGTGCATCAACACAGCAATGGGACATCAGTGCAACCGTGAATTGTTTGAAATGAGACGTTTAAGCACACGATCTAATTACTTCTGGTTCATCGTGCAAAAGCAACATTTCTACACTAACAGGTCCACTGAACTAATTATAGCAACCTGCTTTGAGAACAGAGGTCTCGCTGAATAGGGGCTTTTTCTTTTCTTTGTTTTACTCGTTTCTGATTCTGATTTAATGTATTGATGAAAATCTACATCAAAGGGCTTTCCAGTGGGCAATAGATATGCTTTAGGAGGCAACATGATTGTGGTCGAAAAAATTCAAGATGTGCAGCATTCCAGTGGGATGTAGATCATGAGTCCTCCAGGTTAAGGGAATCTTGGTGCTTCAGTCGAAGGCAACCACACTTCTTTTTGGTCGTTGGAGATGACCCAGCAACACTCAGAGACAAGCACCGATTCACCCCGAAGGAGAGGTGGGTGACCCCAACCCCTCACCAGTTAAAACTGGAAAGCCTCTTGGATGAAAGATGAGATGTATTCGATAATCTAAGAGAAGTTGAGTTGCCTTCTTCTGAAGCCGCTAAGGGTTCAACGGAGCTGTTTTTGATTTGAAAAACATGAACAAAGGTGGAGCTACAGGTTTAAAGACTGGTTGATATTTACCCAGTGGGGAAATCCACGAGTCTCCAAGTGCCACACCAGCAAAGTTGCATTTCACTGTTCCTTGGGCTATGGCCTATAGATAGAGAAGAGACAGCGATTAAACACACTGGAGCCACAGCACCTGTTGTTGTACTTTGTCATGGTTTAAAAGTGTTGATTTGAACTTTCCAAATGACCTTTGCTGATGTGTTCAACTGCATTAAACTGCTGGCTTGTGGAGATTTATGCCTCCTTTACATTTATTGACCAACATTTCTTGACTGCAATCATACTAGATGACTCACAAAAAGTCCACCTTCTGGTCAGACACAAGTGGAAAACATCCCATTGCAGTGGATTTTATTACTGCTTATTCTCCAGAATAAAAAAGCCTTTGCAAGCAGTCTGACAGTCGTTCAGATCATGTGTTTCCTCATTCGGTCAAATGGCAGCTCTTTAACAATGGGAATTTCCAGGATAAATGAGCTCACGTGGACTTGAATGCTCTCCTAAAACGATTTGAAACATTCGGACCAAAACAAGCAGTCAACTGACCTTGGTGAGTTCCAGGGAAATAGCAGCTGCCATCTTCCCTCCATATGACTCAGAGAAAATGTAAAAGGGGATATTCTGTAAAGGATAAAAACAATCAGCTCAAATTCATCACCGCCACGTGAAGGACACTGTAAGAAGTCATGGCTGTTTACACATATTTTGGTGGATGTGATATTTCCCTCAGCAATCATAAAGATCTATTGTTGTACTTGCTGTAGGAAAACCTACTTGGAAATCAGCCTTGGTTCTAAAGAAGTGCTCGAGAAGCACCAGCATGTCTGAGGCCACAGTGGCCACATCAGTAGCGAAACCGTCCGGCCTGTCAGTGTAGCTGAATCCAGTGCCCACAGGGTTGTCTACAAACAACACACTGGCTGCCTGGACCTATAGGAGACAACACACATCCGCATATCAATCTGCATTTCCTCCATTTCAACCTTGTTTTAATATTTATTTTGAAACATTCAATTTAACCATCTTACCCAGCTCGTCTTTCTGGGCTCCAGATCCCTATTCAATGGTCCGATCTCCTCAAAGTTGCCGAATCCACTTCCAGATCCTCCAGGTCCCCCCTAAAGACACACAAGCAAACAAATCTTCATCGTGTTTGGACGGGATGTCTACTGGCACACAAGTCACGAGTGCATTTAATGAGCGATAATCTGAGAGATTATAAAGAAAGTCTGCAAAGTCAATTTTGGAGAAAGCTGTGTGTGTTGTAAAACTTATCTGGTATTTTACACAGCAGTATTATTGCTATAGGATGACTGACTGAGCTTTAGAGGGTTTGTCAGTTCCTCCTCTGCAGCTACAAATAGAGGCTGTTACTCATTCAGTCACACCACCTCAGCTGCTGTCTAAAAAAATAAAATTTAAATTTAGGGATTCAGAATTTTACAGATTAACTAAAAGTTCCTTTGTGGGTTGAGGGACTTCTTTTGCTTTGAAATAAACCATTAAAAATAGATTTATTAGCTAAAAATGCACCATTGTAGTGAGTTTATAGTAGGTTAAAATTGTGAATAGAGACCCTTGAGTCATAAAATTAGGGGGCTTGTGACATCCATCCATCCATTATCTATACACCACTTAATCCTCACTAGGGTCGCGGGGGGCTGGAGTCTATTAGAACCACCAATTAACCTCAACATGTTTTTGGACTGTGTGGGAGGAAACCGGAGAACCCGGACAGAACCCACGCTGCACAGGGAGAACATGCAAACTCCACACAGAAAGATCTAAAAGTTGGGAAGGGTTTTTGAATCTTAATATTTAAAGTACTCAGGTAAATTCATACATAAATAACATGGTCTTAATCAGACTATTCCAACTTACCAAGCCAATTTATAATGCTAATCTTATTTTTCTACAGGGAAGCACTTTGTTGCAGTGGTTTTTGCTTTAAATGTGAGCTATAGATGACAGTGACTTGGGTTGGATTGGACACCAAACTGATTTTCTCACACATTGAACCCTTTGGCATGCTTTAACTTCAGACTTCTGAGAAACACAACTTCAGACACACAGAGGACAATGCAGGATGTTTTGGAAAACCAGCCCAAGCACATGTGATTTGCAAATTGGATTTATGGAGAAACAATGGCGTTTGATCTTTGAGCTACCAGCAGGAAAATCAGTGGATTTGATCGCATCTTACCTGCAGCCACATGACCAAAGGAAGGTCCTGGTAATGAGCAGAGGGACTGTCAGCATAATAAAGCCACCAGAACATGTGGGCTCCATCTCTCACGTCCACATAGCCCCAGGCTTCGTGGTTATCCAGGGGGACGGAGAGGCCTGCACAGAAATCAGTTCCAATTGAACTTGGTGTTCAGTGACAGCGTTACTTCCTGATGCTATTTTAGCAAAGCAGCACATGAGGAAGAAGGTCGGATCAGATCAGCAATAACAGACAGCAGCCAGCTGAGTCAAAGAATGAGGTAGAAGGAACGATGGAAAACATGTACACAGATCTAAATCCAATTTAAAATGCATCTCAAACAGGCAGACAGTCGATTTTTGAGTAACATGAATGGGGAATTAAAAAAGCATAACCTAACATAAAACATTAAATTAGGCCTGTTATTAGATATTTCCAGTTATGATGCAGCCTCGCTACCAGCCCCAGTGTGGCAGGTCCCGATGCAAATTAAACCTTACATTTTAACCCGTACAACAGCTCTGAATAAATCATAAATCTTACCTTTATTCGCCGCAATGGCGAGTAAAACCAGGAAAGTTTCAGCTGCTTGAGACCGGACCATTGTTGAAGTGTTGCTGCTCCGCTCCGCAGAGTCACTGTGACAAGAAATCACATGACCAGACCCGAGTCAGCTGACCGACGGAGGCGCGTATGTCTTTTTTTTTTTTTTTTTTTTTTTTTTTTTACAACGAGTTACAGTTTATTGTTATAAACGCGAAATCAACCTATAAATTAAACAGAAAGAAAAAATAAATAATGTGCTAGCTTAAACTAAGATAATTTTTTTTCTTTTTGGGGAAGCTCTTTGATTCTGGGCCGCACAATAGCAGCTTTGTCATATTTATTCATTACATCTGGCTCAAACGGAGTCAAACGTAATTGTCGATAAAAACCAACCAAACCCTGATATTCTGTACTTTGATTTAGATCTGTATCAACTTGTGACAGCTGCCTCCACACCACCAGAGGGCACTGACAGCCAAAAATCACGTGTCCCAAATTACCTTTAAAAATTAATCTTTCAAGATAAAAGCCACAGAGAAAAAAAATATGCTTGAGTACTTTAAAGTCATCACAACTAGAGACCTCATATTAATAAATGAATATAAATGCACATACGATAAATGAAAAAAAAAAAAAAACTTTATAACAGGCAACTCAAAGAGCCAACCACGCTATTTCTGACTGGGTCCTAATTTCGGGTAAATTAATATTTTGATGTATAGTTTACTAGGCAGCATGCAAAACTGGAATTGATTGTGCTTGATTGTAAAAATAGGCACTACAGAAAGTTGTAACTAATTTCATCGTTTACTTATTTTACCTCTTTAAAGAATGACTTTTGACATACATTATTGAAATTAGATGGCCCCTATTACAGGTAATAAAAGATAAGTTCATAAATTTTCTAAAAAGCCATCAGATGTGAAAATGTTATTAAGAAGTTAATAAATAGATTTTGTTTATCTGCAGCCATTTACCAAAAAGTTATTAACTTTATTAGAATAAATTCTACTTTATTGTTTATTAAGACAACGTCATGCAGTAATAATAACATAAAATTAACAACAACAAAAATGTGAATAGGTATCGATAATATTATAATGATTACTTTTATTATTATTATCATTATCATTATTATTATTATTATTAGTAGTAGTATTATTATTATTATTATTATTATTACTGAGTTGTTTATATAGCTATTAAAGATTTTTTTGCTAACGTCACAGTGGTCCAAACATTTTCTGAACTTATTTCACCGCTCTTATTTTGAAAAGCCCGGGAGCGCGTCGTCCCGGGTCTTGCCGGGTGAGACGGCAGCGGTGAGTTTGGTTGTGATATCCATCATGGCGGCGCCCAGCAGCAACTTCATCCGCCTGCGTCTCTACTTTGACTACCCTCCGCCTGCTGTGGTCTCGTGTCGCATGTGCTGGCTGCTCGTGGACCTGAACACGTGTCGCGTGGTGGCGGACCTGGAGAGCGTCATCCGGGAGAAGTTCGAGTTCAGCCGCCGGAGCATCCTGAGTCTGTTCATAGAGGACTGCTACCTGCCGCACACCGAGAGCATCTACGTGGTGAGAGACAACGACAGCGTCAGGTGAGTCCGCTGGGCGACATGAACGAGTACAAGTCCTGCATTTAAAGTATGGAAGCAATAGCAGCAAAATGTAGTGAAAGTAGTCAAGGAGAAGTTCTGGTGACTGATCGATTACTATATTTCACATCATTAGATTAATTACAGTGAAGCTTCGGTGTGTCAGCAGCATGGGACTGTTGGAGCTGCTGCAGGTGGAGCTGTTTTGAACTATTTCATATCCAGTTTTATATACAGGGACAGCAGATGAATCAAATAAAGTTCTGATGTAGAAATCTCTACTCAGCTTTTGGACTTTTTTCCCCTCTAAACCTATATTTTTGTTGAGATACAGAATTATTTGAACATTTATTGAAGTCAAACCAGCTCAGAGGAAGAAGTATTTGGTGATGCCGTTAGCAACTCAGATTTTAAATGTGACCCAGACTTCACACGATAAACCCTTAAGTACAGCATTTGAGTCCTTATTCAAGGTTTTAATTTCAACATTAATATTATTATTCTTGCTCCACTTAATAGCTTTTCCAGAGCTTTTAACTGCATCTCACAGTCCTCATCAGTGGATCGAGTTTGCTCTGTTGTCATCCTGTGATCGAAAGCTCTGGGAAAATCTAGCTTGTGGACCTTCTTTTTCTTTGAACAAATCCGAAACACGAAAAAAACTGTTCTCATCGAGAGTTGACAGAAAAGGTTAAAGCTGTGTTTCTGCTTGCCAGGGTGAAGGTGGACTGTCTGGCTCAGGTGAACGGACACGACGTCCATCCAGACGCAGCAAGCGAAAACGGCAGAAAGCGACGGAGAGCCACAGGAGAGGACGGGCCTGCCGAAAACGGAGCGAGCGTCGAGTGGAAGAAGAAAAAGAGGAAAAAAAGGAGTGAGGAGGAAGCGGAGGAGGGTACCAAGCTGGTTTCAGGTGACAACAGGGACAAGAAATCACAAGCAAAGCCAACAGAGAAGAAGAAAAAGAAGAAGGCAGAGGGAAGCCCTCCTGTCGTCGCCAAACCAGCTGCTTCTCCCAAAAACATCCCGGCTAGTGTTGATAAACCAAGAACCAAGAAGCCCCCAGTAGCACAAACAAAAACACAGAAAGCCTCCTCGTCAGATCCCAGCAGTAGCAGCGGTGAGGAAGATGAAGCGCCCAAAAAAGCTGCGACTAAACCACCCACCTCCACCCCTGCTGCTTCTGCTGCTGCTAAGGCACCTCCTCCGATCTCCAAACCGGCCCAGAAGAAATCACAGCCTCCCTCATCGTCGTCGTCCTCTTCTGAAACAGACTCGTCCTCTGATGAAGAAACTAGTGTGAAAATTCCTGCAAAAAACAAACCTTTAACCCCCACGACATCTCAACGAGCTCCTTCGGTCTCGGAGTCCACAAACTGTGCACAGAAGCAGGCCGACGGCACCGCTGGGCCTCCTCAGGACTCAGACAGTGAAGAGGAGATCCAGCTGGTTATCCGACGGCCGCTGCTGCAGCCCGGCCGTGGTGGTTTGGGCAGTCAGTCCCCTTGGCGAGGCCGCGGCCGGGGACAAGGCAGGCGTGGTGGTGGTGGTCCTGGACAGAGGGGCAGGGGTGATGGCTTCAGAGGGCCCAGTGACACCTTTGAGTCCAGCTACAATGGAGCCAAGGAGACGTCCTACGGGGCTGATGTACTAACCAACGTGTCAGTGGTCCTCCAGGTTTGTCTGCATGGATTTGCAACATTTATGTCCATAACTAGAAATACATGTGAAGAATACCATAACTGTGACTTCAACACTAAGGCCAAGTTCAGTAGTTAAAGTCACAATAATGGAGTTAATGCGACGTTAATTACTCGCGAGAGCGCAGCCTTGAAAGTGACGTCTCGTCCAGCGCCAGGCTTAACAGGCAAGTGAAATAGACTTTCTCAAAACATTGATGGCCAGCTAGCGTTGCACAACACATCGGTATCTTGAGTTAATTGGGCCCGGGGCCAACTCAGTGTCGCAAACATGAGTAAACTAACTGATAGCATTAAGCTGACATCTACACGCCATGATGGAACTGCATCTTCAGATGAGCTTGTTCACATATTTCTCTAAGAAGAGAAAGATGCCTGATGGAGATGATGCTAGCCAGGTAGCATTCGTCTTTTACTGACTCACAAATGATGATGGTCAGGTACAAAAATAGTGATCACACTGTCGTCAGATGTGAGTGTAAATGACCTAACTGTAATGTTTAATGTAATCATATAAGACAAGTAGCATTAGACAGGGAGGAGCAGTGGACAGCAGCAGACATTTAATAACATATAATCACACACAAACTAGAAACTATTTTAAATGATTAGGGTGTAGGAAACTGAGAGAAACAATCTCATTATTGTTTCTATTTGTAGGTGAAGACTGACCAGAGAAACAGGGTTCAGGGGATCAGCTGGCAGCCTGGATGCTGCTGAGCCTCTCAGAGAATTTCCCTCCAACAGAGCCTCAGAGCTCCTCTATACAAAACCCAGAATAATTCATTGTTCTGAGCCTGGGTGCAAACTTTGCCGCTGATTCTACAGCCCCATCAAGGAATTATTATTTATTGTTTATTTAATTTTATTGTTTTAATTTTTTTTACATTCAGCCTTTAAAAAGCCATTTTCAGCTGGCCATGTTGCCACCATGACACTAATGTGTGCAGCTTAATTGATGGCAGATACACCCACAGCTAAATCCACATCAGTGTTGCTACAGTCCACACACTGCTACTGCTTCAACATGTGGAAAAATGGAACAAATCCAAAGCTTGACTGTTCCCAGCCACAGTTGGACAGTTATTGGTAGAGATGAGGGGTTTAGTGGATTAATTCCAACCTTGGCTCCATTATTGTTGTCTTAGCAGTACAATTGAATCTGTTGTGTACCTGGAAACACAGTTATTGTGTTACCTTTCCATTATGAAACACTGTGCATGAAAAGACGGTAATCATATCTTGGCTTCTTGCATGTGTCTCTTTATAGAACAGAGTAGAAGATGCCCCCAAACGGGACTACAGCTCCATGCCTCTGTTAGCTGCTCCTCCACAGGTTGGACAGAAGATTGCCTTCAAGGTAAGCCCGGTGTAGTGTGTAAATCCCAGTCCCTTATCTATTATTAACACTGTGCCCAAGTTTAATTGTTCATGTGAAAATCCGACCCAGAAACTCACAAAGCCTCCAGGAGAAGCTAAAAGAGCAAGAATAAATGCAGCACCAGCTCAGACAACAGACAGGCCTGTCTTTGCAGCATGAATGTATTAAGAGAGCTCGATACGGAGCTGCCACTCAGCCTCGCTGGCAAATGTTCCCAGTAGGCTCTTGAAGCACTGCAATGAAACAAAAATCCTCCTGCAGCCCGAAAAGAGACGTACGTAGAACTGGTGACACATTCGACTGCAAACAAAGTCGGATTTTGCTCATTCTGTTATGAATTCTTCCTGTTCGTAAAACCTCCCCAGTGCCTAGGAAAGACAATTTTATTTTCATGACATCACTCCAACGCAAAGTCGACATTTAAACCAACCTGAAGCTAGAAAACACTTTTGGTTCATGCAGCAGGCTTTCAGTTTTCAATCAAGTGAATCCAGTATCTTGTTTTCATTAATACTTTGAAGTGACATTTCCATATTTCTCACACAGAGAGCCATTTCATACATACTGGAGCAGTTTAAAGACTTAAAAAGCTTCAAAAACCAACAGCCATTTTAACAATTTCTAGAATAAATGACGATTCTTCAGTTAATTAAGGTCCTGATAGTGTAATTTAAAACACGTAGCAGTCAATATATGACCAAATGTCTTGTGTTTTACATAGATTTTTTTAGAGGCAATATTTAGTTGGAGGCCTAATTACTACAATATTGACTTTTATGCTGTTTTAATGTAAATTGATCTTTTTACATGTAGCATCAGACTTTTGTGAAAACCAGAGAGAAAACTCTGTGTCTGATTGTAAACCCTGTTTCTTTATACAGCTGCTGGAGCTGACTGAGAACTACACGCCAGAGGTGTCCGAATATAAGGTGAAGTTATCCAAAATGTTTTCCACCGCTTCAGCGAATAATCTCACGCTGTTGGGAAGGAGCTTGGAAAGCAAATGCAAATCAAGTCTTAACTGTTTATTCAAACTACTAAATATTAATGTTTCTGTATGTTTTAGGAGGGAAAGATTGTGAGCTTTGACCCGACCACCAAACAGATTGAGCTTGAGCTGCTTCATTCCTCTGAAGGTAGGGATCATTTCACCACTGACGCATACATTTTTGTTAAATTGGGCTGGATTTTCTTTAAACAATCTGAACCTTGCAAAAAACACAGCCTGGTGGAGTCGCTGGTAGTGATAAATACTGGGGAAATTCAAGTGAAAACTTTCTAGCTTTGAATATTTTCTTATCAGAAATCAGCTTTAAATGCAATCGACTCACTTGATTAGTTTGCACACAAATGCGATTACTCCTAACTTGCTTCTTCTACCCCAGTTCCTGTAGAACCTGGCAAGTTTGACCTCGTCTATCAGAACCCAGATGGCTCAGAGAGAGTCGAGTACGCCGTGTCCAGAGGATCTTCGGTAGGTCTTATTGTGTAATACAGTCGTGACTCGGTAATCCGACCCTTAACAATCCGAAAACCTTGCTATCCAACAGGCGAACAGAACCCATGAAAAACAGCCTTAAGATACCGACAGCCTTGGATTCTGACTCCGACATGACATTTTATGTCACAAATAAGGATAACGGCGTATTATCTGACTGAACAATCCCACAGATTGGCTACGTTCAGACTGCAGGACTTGATGCTCAATGAGGATTTTTTTGTGAAATCCGATTTTTTTGCGAGTTTGTTCACATTTCCAATTAAATGCGACTTGTATGTGATCTGCTGTGTGAACTTCATACGACTCAAAAGTGTCCCGCATGTGCAGAAGAGGACATGATGACGTCACACAGCGAGCGTGCTCAGTGTTTGTGGAAATAAACACAGATGATGGCGGCAGCAGGGGAATGGTGCCGGTGGAAACAAAACTGTGACCGTTATCCTAAACTGGCATCAACAGCCAAGTACTGCCTGTGCGTTCCGGCCACTTCCACCCCGTTGGAGCGCTTCCCCAGGGTGGAAGTGTCCCCCAACCACGCCGGATATTCACTATTAATTGGGCATGAATATCCAGAGACTAGAAAGTTCTATTCGGACCAGCCCTACTAGTCTATGAATAATAATTAACAACAAATGAGCCTTCCAGCATCAAGTCCTCCTTGTATCTCGACCTCCGTCTTGACAATCCGACAGCCTTGCTATCCGACACAAAAGAAGGTTTTACATTTAGCGTCGGATTATCGAGTCACGACTGTATGTTACTGTTCCCCCGTTAAGTTAAGTTTTAAAGGCAGGTTTTCAGGGGCTTCAGGTAAACACATATAAATACCTGTGATTAGTTTTAATATCTGCCTAAACGAAAAGAAAATGTTCACGACCTTTACAAGCGAGATACTGAAGAATTAATAGTTATTCCCTCAAGTGCTCGAATAAATCACAGCCGGTGCATTGTGTTTGGGCTCCTGTCAATAGACAACCGAGACAACAATGACGCAGGCAGTCAGCACAAGCAGTTAAACCCAAAGCTTTTCTTTTCTCATTAAGCCCAGGTTTTAGCATCCTTTCCTCTACTTTGAGTGAGCCCATTCACCCAGTGATCCCCTCTTTCAGTCTCTCGTCCAGACAGGAGAAGGGTGGGGGCTGAAAAAAAAAAAACAGCTGCATATGCAGAAAGCAGCAGTTGTTTTCATTGAGGTGCTATTCGTGGGGTGGTTTCCTGTCGTATTCATTTAATCTTTGTGTAATAATAATCTTAATTTTCGTCCCACAGGTGACAGAACGGTGGGAGTCTCTGCTGGAACCAAGACTGATCATTTAAATCCCACCAACAGTGTGAATGTATTCGTCCGCCTTGTTGGGACAGGTGGATTAGTTTTAGGATCCTTCAGCAAAGTTCAATTGAGAGTTACTTTTGCATATAGTGGTTATGATAATACTTGACCAGGTGAAGAGAATCAGTCGTCACGCTGCTCATAAGAGCTCCTGCATTGTATTGAAAAATGTTAACGTTACGTTTAAACTGGGTTTAAATATGAAATGCTGTTTTTATGATGTTGCAGGAATGAGCGATTGTTTCCTGAGACAAAAGGATTTTATGTTTTGTACAGTAATGTGACTGGGATCAATCTTAAATAAATGTTTTTTTTTTCTAATAAAACAATGCATCTTCTGGTTTGACTACACGGCCAAAGTCTAATGTAATATTCTATTATGTCATATTTTGTACAACTATATTGTGAAATTCCAGTAGGGAAATTGCCTTGTTAAAACCACTCAAAATGCAGTCAGAAGAAAAGAAAATACTACAAAAACAGAGCCTAAAATGTAGTAATAGTCATAAATATATATATTTCTAATCCTCTGGGAGTAACACGATGGTAACACATGTCAGGGAATTTCTCAGATACCCCAGAACTACAGGCGTTTTTGAATTTTCTTAGTTCTTGTCTGTTTACAAGCCCGGCCACATCCAACTACATAGTACTTCGTGTGCAGTATCGGTTTCTCTTAGTACACAATTACAATAAACTACCATATAAAAAAGCGGTATGATTTTAAATTTTCTATCTTGTTTTATATATATAAGATTTGAACTTTTTTTGAAACCACAATACCTTACAATGTTCTAATTATTTCTGGACATGCTTGTGACATTTATGGTATAATGTTGAATGTTAAGGTGACTTATTATAAACTTGCTCATTAATTTAAACAGAATTTATATTTAAGCTTTGCAACCACCATAATCTGCCACTTATTCCAGACCAAGTTGGATGTTTTTGGTTGAGGGAATCAAACTTAACAAATTTGTTGTAAGAATTTTAGGGAAAACATTCTCTGAAGAGTGCCAAACATCATATTTTTTGTTTTGTAATCAGAAGTCAGCAGGTGTAAAAACAAACAAACAAACAAACAAAAAAACAGGTGTGTTTGGACAAATGTATCCTTAAAAGTCCAGCACAAGGTCATTGCTTTGGTGAACTACTTCATTTTCAGCATTGCACCTATTTATACATCACATATAATGGCCTATTCAGGAATTCATTCATGTGTTTTTGTTTTATTAACCAAAATTCTTTCTCAAACTGAGCTGCTGTGCAAGTACAACTTTCTAAGTTGGACAAAAGTGGATTTTAAATGGTTTAAAATACAAAAACAGAGAATATAGTGCTATTTACAGTATCTCCACACAGTATGTTGCACTCATTAAAAACTATAATATCACCTTTATTAAATTAAAAAACAATAATTATTAAGTCGTGCTTCCCGCCGGTGACGCAACGCCTCGTGTGGAGCTCGTCAGTCCTCGGCCTTTTCCGTGACTTCTCGCGCCTCCTGAACGTGCGCTGCTGCTGCTGCTGCTGATGTCACGGACGGCACCAGTCGGTCCGGCGGAGCTGAGGAAGGATGATGGCGACCGTCGGAGCCGCTCCGTTACGGTCCGTTTGACGAAGAAAAACCCACACATTTCGCTCACGAAGCCGAGCCCTGCCATGGAGGCTCACGTCTTTCCCGACCAGAGTCAACTGCTGCTGTTTCTCAGGAGGCTCAAGGAGGTTTTCGACGTGTGTGACGAGGATGCTGACGGCTTCATCCGGGTGGAGCACTTGGTGGACCTCGGTCTTCAGTTCGGTCAAGGAGAGGAGGTGAGACGGTGGGGGTGAAAAAAAAAAAACGGGTAACAGTTAAAAAAAAAATAAAATAAAAATATGTCTTGTTTATATTCATATTATCCGTTTAACAAGCTGCCGTCGAGCATTTTCAGACGTTGAATTAGTAACAAGTGGCGGCTGTTCGACCCGCGGCGACAAACCTGTCCTCCGCGGTGACTGTCACAGGTGTGCCGAGGTGTTAGCATGTTCGCTAGTCGGGAACAAAGACTGCATTTGTCGCCTCCATATTCTGTTTGGTCTCTTGTGGAGGGACATGTTTAGCTCTGTTTTTTCTTTCCTCCATGTAATTAAACGGTTCCAGCTTACTAAACTACCTGGAGAGAAAAACACAGGTGTTAGCATTGACGTTGCTTTTAAAAAAAATTTAAACTGGCTGTCTTAGACTTTACAGTGTTGTTAACTTAGAATGCCTTCAGTATTTTAACAATCACAGATAACGTCAGCATTAGGTCTTTATAATGCAAGAAAAATTATGGAAGGACTGTGGTATTTCTCACTTTCCTGTGTTTGGATTTATTGGACCCTTCTGTGCAGTTTTACACCTTAATAAATAATTTGCCAGTCTAGGAAATGATAGATTTTTTCCCCATCAATGTGTCAATACTCTGATTTGTTGGGTATTTAATATTAATGCTTGACTAGCCATTGATTTACCATAACAGCATATATGGATTTCAATCAGTCAAACCAGATTGTATTGCAGAGACACGGTCCTGCACGGTTCTGATTAGACAAAGGCTTTGGACTGACAAAATGCACTTGGAGTTTTAAAACCCCTTTGCTTCTTCGAGGTTCCTAGCGCTGTCCGTTATGAAAACCAGAACCTTTTGTCGAAGGTGACACATTCACTTCTGAGGCAGCCCGGTACTGCGATGACTACAATCGATTCAGCATTGTTGTGTTTCGTTTCTGTTGCGTCAGATTTGGTCGAGTTGCAGCCTAGAATTTTTAGAACAGGGTCATCACTGTCTCATTGTTGTAAAGCTGCTATTTATTCTCTAGTTTATATTTTTTCGTTGGCAAAAACAAAACTGTCAATCTTCACGGGAGCTTTTTTAGATCTTGCTCCGGCCTGGTGCAGTTATTATATTTAATAATCCTTCCCCCCTTCAAGTGTCTGTGTCTACAGAGCCTCATTTTGGACCTATGGTTTTAAAGCAGCCACTGACTGATTATGAAGATTTTTTTTTTCAGGTACAGATGTCAGGAATAGCCTCCAGGGCTGAGTGTGTTAAAATGAGTGCTCATTGGCCCCACAGAATTTAATTAGGCCACATGCAACACAGTGAAGTGATTTCACTCTGTCTGTTCCATCATGTGACCGACCTCATCAGTCAGTGGAGGAGCAGCTACTGAAAAGGTACAGCGCCAGAATTAGGTTTTGTTGAAGAGGTGCACAACTCCTGTACAGCTACGTTCAGGGCAGTGGTTCTCAACCTTTTTGTCTTGTGACCACTTTATATGAAGCAGTATCTTTTTTTTTGTTTTTCTCATATTAGATTGACGCATTTCCAAGCATGAATCTGTAAAGTGTTAAGTATATTTTGTATGTTCCTAGCCTGGATAATGATGTTGTGACTCCTTAGATTCGTCTCACAACCCCATCTAACGGTACAGACTGTGACTGATTTAAAGCGTCTGCCACATGATGTACCGTTAGCCAGACACCACATCAGTACATCTCTGTAAGGAGGGCATAGATAGGCACAGATTAGCTCTAGAGGGATATCTAAATGTTCCAGCTGATGTTTTTCCTTGTTACAGTACTCTCAAGGTGCAGCAGCTCATACAGGCCTCAGGTTCAGCACCATGGAGAGCACAGTGGTACTGAACCTGGCACACACAGTGCTCACTCGCAATTCTTTATGTGTCATTATAACCCTATGATTCTGCCGCCTGCTATTCTAGCCTAAAATATCACACTGTTTAGCCATTTACTGTTATTATTTTCAGTATTCCAACAGATGTAGAACTTGACACCAGTGTGTTTGGAGTAAAGGCTGGGCAGCGCTGCCTGCTTCCAAGTAAAAGTCTCATTGTGGTGATACATAGGTACATATGGAGGATTAAGCAATAACAGAAGTTGGTTTGTTCTGGGTTTTATCCACTTTGTGTGGACTATGTGTGCCAACATTTTCCCATTATTTTATTACTTGCTCTGAAATCCAATAAACACTGTTTTCAGAGGATGCTGTTGTAGGAATTCATGGCTGTTTGTTAGCCAAATCTAAAACCTTGTTGTTGGACAGTCCATAAATACAGCACCCAAAGGAGCTGTCACTGCTGCAAGTACATTAACACACAAAAACATAATAAATCTCCTTGAATGTGCCTGTACCTGTCAAGATTCCAGGGCTCATGTTGGTTTTTATACTGTACTGAAAAGTCAAAAATACTGGCTGCTGGAAGGGTTGGAGATCAATCTTAAAACATGTGATAGGAATTGGAAAATAGTTATCAATACTGTAAGTATAATTGGTAATTAAATGGCTAAAATATGCATTTGTGTAGCTTTCTTTGCGTGCACAGAGACTTCCACCCAGTTCCTCAAGTGTAGTGTTGTTGTACCTGGGTTAGAAAAACTCCGATTGATCGTGCTGGGTTATTTTAATCCTACTTTGTTAAACATGTGCAAGGGAGAGAAAGAAATGAACCCGTTGGAGAAATGTTAATCAGTATTAGATGAGGCAGGTTAGATTCTGGATGCACTGAAAGCCTCAGATAAATGATATCTAACACTAAGAGTGGATTTTCCTTTAAGCTGCCATGGCGGTCGAACACCCAGAACACATTACTAAAAATAACTCAGCCATACTAAAAGGAAGCTTCTTCTTCATCTTTCCTCCTCCCCTCTTGCGGTTCCACTCATCTCTGTGTTCTTTGTCACCATAGAGACGAGAGCTTCTCGAGGACTCTGCGAGTGGATTGGTTGATTATTAAGTAATGAAATGATCCGCCTTGCTGCTGAAAACAGCCTATGAGATGGTGCTCTGCGCCAGCAGTGTATTTACATTTGTTTCATTTTGGGAAACAATATTCTCTCCAGTGACATCCAGACGCAGCCGTTTCTGTGGTTTGTGGATTATAGACGGCTACATATGAAATAACAGCTTTATTCTTCATGTTCATCTTGCAGCGACATTGACATCCCGCATGCATGCACACTTCCAGGTTTATTTTATGTTATGTTTTTTTAACAAATGTTTAACTTTTGTATTCATTCTGCGTTATGCATTTGGGAAGCCTTTAGGGAAAACCCCAGCTTTCATCTTCTAAAATAGCATTTGGGTCTCATTTTGGGTCTCAAAGGACCAAATCCTTTTGTGCTAATTTTAACCGTACTGTGTTTTCTCTTATTCCCAAACCTTCCATCCATTTTCCAAAGCTTGCAGCGTTAATTTGAATTTTCCGGAGCACTGCTTCTGATTTCCAGGCTGTCGATGTTTTCTGTTTTTTTACTCTGGTTTAAAAATCCACCCTGAGATGTGAGACTTGCTTGAAATATACTGTCCATCACAGTGAATGTGCTGTGTGTTGTCTCTTAGTGGCAAAATGACCTTATCCTTGCATAGTAGTAATAACAGTGACAGTAATAGTGCTGATGTACGGTGTAGTCAGATGTTTGGAAGAGTCTTAAAAAGCTGCCTGCACTTCACTCCACTGAGAGCAGTGCTTTGGGGAAAATAAGACATACAATGAGCAACCGCAGAAATTGTGATTTTGATCATTTAAATTTAATAGCTTCTTGAATGGTTCTGTGGCCCGCTACTATGCTGTTATTGTAAAGGATTTGTATGAAAAATTCATTACTTTTAGCTATATGAAGACTTATTCCTGGTCAGTTGTGTTTATTATTTATACCCATATGACTCTTACGGGTTTATTCATGCCTACATTTTGGCGGTAAGAAATCATCTCAAACCAGTGCTGAATTAGCTTAAACTCAGACTTCTGTCATACCGGATTACCAATAAAACACCCGGGGGAAAAAAAAAGGGAAAACTTGTTCAAGTGAAAGGGTGGGTGGATGCCGAGTGGAACTGTGCTTGACTCATCACTGTTGGGCCCACTGCTGTGTGTCATCAGGCAAAAACCTGAACAAGAGGGATTTTGTGGCACCCTATGATGAATACTGGCGTCTGTGCTCAGGCTCTGCTCCTGGCTTTACTTATGACATGATTAGTTGATTAGTCTGACCAGTTAAACTGAAAAGTGAAGTATACTTTCTATTAAACACAACCTTTTTTTTTGTTTCGGCTTCCCCTTTTTCCTGTTTTTAAATCAATGCTAACTGAGGAAATGGTTAGTTGCAGCATTAAATTAAAGATGTCGAAAGTAACTGGCAGCAAGTCCCAGGTGGGACGTTGTCAGTGAATTTATTAAGTGGTCTGCACTTCTGAAGTGCTGCTGTTGGCTACGAACTGCATTTAAACTTCAATATTTGATTTTTCCCAAAGGTTGTGACAAGCTGTCCAAACCCTGTCTAAACCTCCTGCAAGCATCAAATCCAAACTGACACTCCTCTCTTAAATAATATTATACAAACATGGTACAATATTAAAGAAAACCATACTAGTAAAGCTGTATTTCAGGTGCTTTTAAAATAGATTCTACTACCTATATTATTCACATCTATTAGTTTACATTGGTGTGCATCCCTTAATTAGTTTAATCGCTGGTAATAGAACAATAATATTGTCTTTACAGGTGCAGATAGAAATATAAACAGTCACTTTGTAGCTTCAAACGTATTGTATTTGTGTGAGAGGTTCGCGATCACTGATTTCTGCCTGTGTGACATTAAAGAGCCTGTAGGCTTTAGGTGTCAAATGGATTGCACAGCATGCTGACATTTACGTTTAAAGCCTCTGTGATAACATGACACTCAGCTCTATGATGTGGGACTGTTTGTGTGAGATAACACTTCTCAGGCCACATGTGGCTCTGTAGATGCTGATGTAGCTCAGGTTGATTCACACCATACCCTCTGCTCTCAATAGGTTGCTTTCAGAGGCCATAAGCCCTATTTGGAGGTATCGTAACCAAAGGAAATGTTATGTCAACCTTGTGTCAAGAGTAGTTGATGAAGAGGCAGAAATAAGGCTGCCTTCAGTGGAGGTTTAGATGACACTGTCAGCAGTACTAAGTGGTTTTGTACTCAAACGATTAAAATGCAGGTGTCACATCATTCCCTGTAGTTAGATTTAGTTTGATTCTGCCTCACCATCCTGTTAAAAAAGCAGACCATGACTCAGAAAGATTTTATTTTTCCTGATCTCTTTTTTGTTTTTCTTTCAATCTGTATCACAGTTAAAATTCTTAGGGTCATGTGTAGGGCTAACCTCCCTGCGGCTCATGTAGAAACTGTGTTTTGATATGAAAATGTATTCACATCATTTGCAGTTTAAGCATAGCCTATTTTGAAATATGTAAATACATGAACGCAGATGGAAAAAAAGACATTTGAAATTCAGTGACTGGTGAGTAAAGCTTTTAATACATGTGCACCGCCAAAACTGTGCACCACGATATAATTTAATCATCCCACTATATGTATAATAGAAACCCCGAGGCATCAAAGAAGCTGCAGAGCTGCCATCACCTGCAGACTGACAGCTGATCCAGCTGTGATCCAGCTGTCATGCAGTTTTCTGAAACTGATGTCTCTTCAGATTCCCGACATCCATGAGAGAACGTGCTATCAGTGCAGAAATACAGAGCGTGTGTTTACGCTGTCATGTATATTGAAGCATCCTGAGTGACTGCAGCACACAGTTTTTGGTGTTGTTGTATAATGAACTGCAGCTCTTGTTGTGGTATGTATTCAGATGCAAAACACTAAAATCCTCATAAATTTTAATTGTGGTTATATAACAGATGCTTGTCATGTGGAGACATTTTGAATTTTCTTTGCTCTTCTAAAACCAAACCAGCACAATCCCTGACATAGTTCTGTCCACCTTCCTGACAACGTGTTCGGATTAAATCTTGTCCAGGTTGTTTTGAACTGTGCAGTTTCTAGTCTGATGCATGTGTCTGTAATTTAAATGTTATTGATAGAAAACAGTTGCAAAATAGAAACTATGAACATAATGTTGTTGGTAAGCCCACAGAAAACGCAGCTAAAAAAGCCAACCATCTCAGAGACGGGTAAAGGGCTATAAATTGTCTAAACATGGTGATGACAGCTCACACTTGCAGGCATCTTTTCTGGAAGACATTCGCAGTGTTACACTCATTTGTTCCCACTCAAAGGTGACAAACATGCCTGTGTTAATTTAAAAAAAGAAACCTTGAGAGAGGAATTCACACCTTGCTTACCTTCCAGTTTTTATACAGCTGGCCAATGACTTTATGAAATTGGTGTAATTCCATCCAATTATTGTTGAGATGTTTCGGTCTGTAACATAGTGGTGGAATGACACTGGCATCCATTTAACTGTAATTCTAGTGTGGCTTAACATCATAACTCATTTTAGAATTATAGGCCTATTTATTATACAGCAGAAGGTTAAAGAGAGATGTATTCAGATGACTGCACCAATGCTCAGTATTCATGCTCAGTTAGTTTTGTCTCTCTGTTGAAGGTCTGCAGATAGAAGGTCCCTCATTGTGTCCAAATTGTAAAGCTTTCTGAAGCAAATTGGCAATTTGCCACATATACGAGTAAATAAAATCAACTCGACTTTGGTCTCTTGCAGGTGAAGAAGTTGACTAAGTACCTGGATCCTAACGCTCACGGGAAAATAAACTTCAAAGACTTTTGCCACGGAGTGTTCGCTATCAAAGGTAAGAAATGTAGATGAAAACAAAGTTGGAGCTAATTGTCTGACCTCCTCTCTTTATGAAAACGTGCTGTGAGCTTTGTAAGTGCTGCTTGGTGAATTTTATCACCGAGCCAGGGTAGCTGCTTCAGTCTTTTTGCTAAGTCAAGCTAAGTGGCTATTGGCTGTGGCTTCATTATAACTGAATACACATCTGCTTGGTATCAGTGTCTTGTTTAACTTTTGCTAAGTAAGTCAATAAAAAACTATCCTTAAACTGTGGATAATATCTTCCCACACTCATCTAAATACAATCCAGCCTATTTCACCTTGAAAGACAACAAAAGGATGCGACACAGTAGCTGAAGCTGACGCCAGCTCCTCCATGCTGTTGATGGAGAATGGAAATTTGGGCAGCTTAATAGGAGGAGTCACATGGGTGGAATATTTCACAAATCTGACTTATTTGGTTTACTACAAGAGAAGCTGACTTTTACACAGAGTTTCCTGCGAAGAAGGGCAGAAATGCAGCATGCGGTTTATCAGTTTATTCCTCGTCCTCATTTTTCTGTCTTGACTTCTTTCTTTCTTTTCCTTCTGCCTTCCTGCTCTGCTCCTGCAAGGCTGTGAGGAGATACTGAAGATGGCTGTGGGTCCTCGTGGTCTTACCTCCCGCCAACCGTCTGTCACTGACAATGGCTACATTTACCAGGTACGATATTTGGCACCCTATTCGCGACTCTTTTATCCTAGTTTCTGGCTTTTAAAGTTTCATGCAGGCTAGTTTCCAGAGCTATAGTAGAATGCAAATTAACACCACTCTGTCATAGGCCTGGTGTATCTCCAAAGCAAGTTTTCGTTACTGTATGTTGCACAGGCCGTGGTGTAAATAGGAATTTTTGTAGAATGAAGCTGCGTCCTGTGTGCAGGATGGACGGCCCCATGGAAGTGTCTTTGTGCTGCTGTGTTCAGCTGAAACTAGAATAATATTCACTGTAAGTCAAAATAGTGAGACGCTGATTTTTAATATAGTTTTATATATGTTTGACTTTCCATTTCTGAAGTAAAATTGTGTTTTTTTTTGAGGATATCTGCCATAACTTTCCTTAAAAAGTTCATTTAGGAGTTACCATGAGCATAGTTTGTCATATTTTTTTCCCCTGGGGAATCCATGGAGTTGCCTTTGTTCTAATGAGATGGTAAATGAAACAATAAATTTGATGTAATTTCTGAGATACTTCAAAGGTTTAACAGGAGTCTGACTCAATTTTTTAGTGCCTAATGTTTTCTTCAGGCAGAAACATGCTTCCATACAACTCTGATGCGGGCAGTGTATTTGGACTCCAACGTGCATTGTAGCATACATGATGAAAATACCAATGAATATGCAATACATTCTAAATTGTTGCATGTACTGTATGTTCCAATGCTGCTCATGGCCCTGCCAGAGATCAGCCTAACTGGGCAGTTGCTTAGCAACACGAGTGAGCAAGAGGGGGGGAAAGTGAGAGAGATGGAGGTGTGGCTTTGTCCCAGCTAAAGCATCAGTGTGTTTTTAGATGTGAATGACTGAACTGCAGTGATACATGTGTGTGAGGGCTGATTGTGTCCAGGCTTTCAACAAGCTAAGCCTCCAGACATCAGGATTGAGGTGGATTTTGATTTTACTTCCTCGATAAAGGATACCTTACTTTTGTTTGGATGACACATTCACTCATACTCATGCATACTGGTGACCTGGGACTGGAGAGGAGACATATGGGCGGCACACTTTACTGGTAAGGTGGATGTATTCGTGCCATGCTGACTTTTACTCCATGAAGTAAATGCACACAGAAGTGGTGTGACACTAAATCAAAAACTGAGACCAACCGATCCTTCATTTTATGTGCCGTTTTATGTGTTTAAACTGCTTTTAAGTGTGTATTTTACATGTCTTTGCTAGTTTAATAACGGTACAGCTTTGAGACTTTTGATGATAGAAATAATTTGAAAAGTCACTCAAAGCTGCAGCACACACATGCTCCTCCCACACAGCTGTTTCCATTTAGTTTGGGTAATTAAACCTCTTCTCAGGACTTTGTGTGTGCGAAAAATTCTGCTTGACTGACACCTCCACTCTCCTGTAAGTTAGACTGCACCTCCACCGTTAGGGTCATTTTTGGTACATACTGTTCGGGGTTAGTCTGTGTGGATTCATACTGGTGTTTTGAATTATTCTGCTGGTTAACAACGTCTGCATTTAGCCCAGGTAAGCAGAATGATCTCTCAGTATTAGAGATCATGGGGATTTCTAAGTCAAACTGAACAGGAGACACTGCAGTTCATTGTGTCTGTGTCCACGTGCTGAAACACCTTAACTTTACCAAAGGCTTTCTCGTGTCTTCTGCAACATTTGAGGACAATAAATTGATGGTTGTGTTCTGTAAAGCCTGTGAGGCGTCAGTACTTAGGGTGGACATGGTTGCTGGGTCATAAAGGTGCTCGATGTCATGCTAGATGTACACAAAAAATTAATCTAAATTTACTGTAAGGTTCAGCTGCCTGACATATTTTCTGGTGACCATTAAAAAACACAGACCATGTAGGAATTTGAGTTCACTTTTAATTCCTCATTTACACACGCCTCTTCATCTCAGACAAAAACATGTGTATAATTGATGAATGAAAGATAGACAGCAGTCCCTCAGAGAACATAGCGTGCCTGTTGGGCTTTGTTTGCATGCTCACATACAAAGACAAGTCTTTGTTTTAAAAAAAGGGCATGAAAGCACCTGTTTTGTTGTCAGAAATGAAAATCTTGTGTGTATAAGTGTGTGTGAGATTGGGTATGACCTTGCCATGGCTCCACAGCTGCCTGAAGCCAGACAGGGACATGCATTATTAATAATATACATATCTAGGGCATGCTACACCCCGCTCTGTCTGATAAATCTACCCAGGAGACCAACCTGATGTGCCAGATGGTTTGTTGCACAGAAACGTCAGAGAAGGTCGTCCTTGGAAACAGTTTGGAAAAGGGAAACACTTTAAAAGAATATTTGGGAGATGACTGAATGAACCACCTGTCTATCACTGTCTGTCACAGCCCAACTGGCACATTAAACACGCTCGTAGCTGCCAGTAGTGCCTCGTAGGATGCTGATTTGTACGACAAACTGTGGATGAACCAGTGGCACATAGCCTGAATCCTGATTAATTGTTGTGTGATCTTGTTATCCTGCTAATCTCACAAGAGTCCAGCTACCTTGCAAGGTTACCAAGAGACTATCTCTAGGTGAAATAGTAAAGACGCTGTCGTATCACACATTATATTAAACTCTGTTCAAAACATACTTCATACCAGATCAAATCAAATCCAACTGTACAGCTGCTCAACTGAGGAAAAAAAAACAACAGCCTGGTATCAGCCTTCAAGCTTAAATTTGTGGCAACTCGAACAAAATCAAATTGTCTCTCAAACCCATCAATGTGTGTTCAGAAGCTGCGGTTTAAAACGGCACCAGTGGTTTAGTCGAATCAGGCTTCTATGTCCTCTATAATGGCTGCCTTGGTTGTAGTGAAGTGTGTTTCCTTGTTGGTATGTGTTTGTGCTTACTTTAACCTGAAAGCTGGAATCTAATAGCACTAATATAATAGCCATGGAGGTCACTGTATCTTGAACTTTATCCAAAAAAAAGACTGCAATCCTGGTTTAACAGGGGTTCAGAGTCCTGCAATTCTGTTTAAAGATAGTGTTAAAAATGTAAACATCTGCCCTACAAATTATTGATAGAGATCACATCTCGCTCAGTTCATTATCATCTACACAAAAGAGAAATTGAACTGAGGTTAATGTAGGTCAGCAGTCACAGGAAAAATGTTTTAAAACGTAACTGTTCTTTATCTTGAAGCTATAGATTCACAATTATTTTGTCAGAAGCACAAATGCTACTTGATAATACATTAAAACAAGCATTTTATTCTGATTTTTCTCAATAATACCTCTGTGGTGATGTTCCTCTAAATTCCCAGTTGGTGACTCTTTTGATTTGATCGTACATCCAGTTCAATTGTGTTTTTTTTTTTTTTTTAAGCTGAACATTTGCTCACTTTAACACAGCAGTCCATGCCAAACCTGAGCTTTAAACCCCATCCTAGTTTCAGCTATACCTCAACTGAGACAAAACCCCAAGGATTTACTGGTATAAAAATGTATTTATTTCTGATATCTAGGAAATACTATTGCAGTATTTCGGAGTAAACTAAATTATGATCTTCAGATTATTTGTGTACAATCAAATTAAATTTGTGCTCATTGAATGAAAATATGTGCCTTGAGATATTTTTATCCACCTTCTTTGTCCACTATTGTTGAGACTTAAAATGAGTGATTTAAATGATAAAGAAAAGGTATTGCATGCTTACATTTAGCTGTTTTTTGAACTGCTGCTCTCATGCCTTTTAGTAAACATTAGCATGCTGCATCTGTTGATCCTGGGCTGCTCTCTTCAATATCTGTTATTCAGCAGCTGTGCTAGAGTACCCCGAGGTGCTTGAGCTTCTCTGTCAGCTGTGCTATTGTGTAAAGATTTCAAAAGACACCTTTTAAGTTATTTTAAAACTAAAAATGTGGTGTCTTCATACTTGATGACTTCAGTGTACACATACCCTGTGCACTGAATTACACTGACAGCGAGTGATCATGTAAAAAATGTTTTAAATTAAGTATAAAGGCCAGAATCTCATGCGACTTACCTACTTCTGAATGCAGTGTGTGCTCATTTGTTGACATGTTTAAATTTGTTTGTGTGTATAGAACGGCGAGGCTAAGCTGGGCCCTCCGATTATCATGTGTACGCGATCCTACCCAGAATGCACTGAGGGCTGTGGTGCTGATGGAGAGTGTGACATGGACAGCAGCACTGAAAATGCCAACAGTTCTGACTCACTGGACCCGACACGGCAAGACGGGTCAGTCATAAAATAAGTTACTATAAGTTTTAGCATTAAGGAGGAGGATCTGTATCACATAAAAGCAAATAACTGTCAGAAACTAAGCTGCTTAAGCGTAAGTGTATGGATTTGTTATTATAGCAGCTCTTGTTGATGTTGTTCTTGTTCCTTTTATCATTATCAAAGTTTTTAAATGAACCATCTTTGCTGTACTTCTTGTTGTGCAACCCCAGACACCTGAATGGCTCGGCATCTGCGTCCGTCATCTCTGGGGAGGAGCAGTTCGAAGATTACGGCGAAGGGGAGGATGTAGATTTTACTCCCAGCAGCCCTTGCCCTGAAGAAGACACCCGAACAAATGGCTTCACTGAAATGGGATCCTCGCTTCCCTCAAGGTTGGTGGTTAGTCTGGCAGCACGCTCCCTCAATCACATGTACAGACACTCCACAGTGCATACAAGCATATCTTGAAAACCTTTTTTTTTTTTTCAAGAAAAGAAACGGAATCACTTCTTTTGGACCACTTACATGTCCTAAAAGAAAGCACTTATAATGTTAGAAACAGCTGAGTTCAGGACAAAAGCTTCTGACAAAGTGTGATGGACCGATTCCTAAGGTTGGAGTTGTGTCCGGGAAACTTGGGCCAGTATCACCATAACCTCTCAAGAAGGAGATATTCTGACATTACAGAGTAGAAGTGAACATTACTTCACTGAGCCAATATAGCTTTCTTGGATAAGCAAACACCGCCTGGCTCGTGGTGGTTTGCTGCATGTCTCCCTCTGTCCCTCTGCTTCCTGTTTTCTGCGTCTTTCTTCTGCCGTCACTATGAATAAAGTCAAAAATGCCATAAGTACAACATTTTTTAAAAACGGAAGAGTACTTATAAATATTAGTAAATGACATAAGCTATGCAAAACATGTAACGTATCCGTGCTTTGAAGGCTATTGTGTTTGATATTTAGACCTAATTATGTGTGACAGCCTCATACATCATCGTTTGCTTTAGTGGTTCTTACAACATCTTGCCAAAGGACTGCATTAGCCTGCTGGCTAATACTGGTACTTAATCATTTCTGTCTTTTGACAAAACTGGGAACACACTTAAACAATACACAAACAAACATTACTGGAATGTGCTGTTGATTGATCACTACTGTCTCACAATGTAAGACACTAAACAAACTGAATTGTGGTGCACAGCTGCAAAATACTGAACAAACTGTAGGCAATAAAACTAACAAATGTGTTTATCCTTGCAGATTGCATCAAGTACTTTCATTCTTGCTGGTTTCTATTGATATTTTAGCATCGTTATACGTGTCATTAATACACAATGATGTGTTCTTTGTTCCCGCAGTGCGGGTCAGACTCCTCAGAAGATGAGGCAGCTGTATAACAGTGAGCTGCTGGACATCTACTGTTCTCAGTGCTGCAAGAAAGTGAATCTACTCAATGACCTGGAGGCTCGACTTAGGAACCTCAAGGCCAACAGGTACAACACACACACACAAATATGCTCACATACGTACACACACACACACACACAGACACACACACAATGTAATTTCATGGAGGCTTGCATCAGCCATTGCTACCACTTCTCTAACCCCAGAATTGATCCTCAAGTTAAACTAAATCTTCACCCTTAAATTTAATGAATTGCATTATGGCGGCTTTTCTTTATTTTATTCCCAAAAGGACGGCGAGTCCCCACAATGTGCATTCATATGTATGTCCCCACAGCAGGAGTATTAAAACTATACACCCAAACACAGATGTGAGTATAGACGCAGAGGTTAAGTGAGACTAAACGACGGTGGGTGAGCTGACTAAAGGAGGCTTCCGAAAATACACCGAGCTGCTGCCTCAGCATCACCCTCGTCTAACAAAGCTCAGATTAGCTCTCGGAGACATCTCGCCAGCCACCCAAATCCCACCCTCTTATTCATTCTTGGCACCAGCCGCTGTACCCACATCAAAGGGTGAGCATGAGCTGTTGCTATAGCAACCATATTCCAATCTTAACGGGATGGCTGGTTGCAAGTTTTTTTTTTTGTGGGTATCTGTGTGCGAGATTGCAACAATGCTGCAATAAGAATGAAACCATTATTTGTGGTTAAAAAAAACACATGGCAGATTGTTAAGTCTTTGGCTAGAACAGTGGTTGTTACAGCAATATGAATATCAACAGGAAGTAGTGGTCAGTATTGTAGTTGTATTGGTAAAAACCGATACCAAAAAGCTGTCAGTGACTCAGTCTGTCTCTTGTGTTTCAGTCCGAACAGGAAGATTTCCAGCACAGCATTTGGCCGGTAAGTGACCTGACCTTCCTACTAATGACCGTTTTAGACAGAAATACTGCAGTGAATCTTCCTTTGCATAGTAAGCGGGAGCGGCCAGTTACAAGCTACAGAGCACAATGATGGGTTCATCACTTAGCAGATAAATCTGCCATTATAGAGTCGTATAATGGAAGAGCAGCTTCAGAAGCCTCCACATATCATCTTCTTGTGTAATGGGTAATAATGTCGTGTGTCTGTGCTGCTGGTTTCAATGTGTCCTCTCCCCCCCGCAGTCAGCTGTTCCAGGCCAACCACAGTGTGTTTGGGTCCAGTCAGGGCAGCAGCACAGAGGATCTGTTCACAGACAGCATCGACTCCTGCGACCTGGACATCACAGAAAAGGTACAAGAACACACAAGCACACAAAAAGCCAGGCAGTGATTGTACATTTTAAGACATTGTGCGTTCCTGTTAAAAAGCTTAGCCCAGTTTGTCAGGTTAATGTTTTTTCTTAAATCTAAATCCACTTCATGAAGTTTATTTACCTAATTCTACAGTGGATGGGATACTTCATGAGTGTCTGAAACACTTTGGCTTACTTCGAAGCACTGACTCCACAATGTCCAGAAATGATTCTCCAACAATTTTGGCCAACTCTGATGTAATGCTATGCACTTCTGTTCAAGATTTCAGTTAAAGGCAGTAGTTCTGGGCTTTCTGTGTGGAGTTGGCCGGTTTTATCCGTGCCTGTGTGGGTTTGTTCCGGCTGCTCTGGTTGTCAGGTTAATTTGTGACCCTACATTAGCTGTAAGTGTGTGAATGAGGGCGTAAACGGTTGTCCGTTTCCCTGTGTAGCCCTGTGATTGACTGGTAAATGTTCACCGTCAGCTGGGAGAAGATCCAGCCTGCCCACAACCTTGTAAAGCATACGCAGGCATAGCTGATCAATTAATCTGCCACTTAGTTTTCCAATTGGCCGATAAAATGTTTCATCTAAAAGACATCCTAAAATAGTTCATGTCCGTCACAGGCCAAGAGGATGGCATCAGACGCCTCTCATAAACCAAATGACATTCAGTTTTCTGTAATATAAGGCAAGGAAAAGCAACAAATGCTCATATTTGGAAAGCTGAAAGAATTAAAAATTAAATGTAAAGGTAATACTCACATATTTGCAGATTATTTTCAGTCAGTGTGTATAAATTGTGTTATCATTGCAGCTCTCGTCTGAAGTTAACAAAATCAGCACATTTAAGTGAGGTTATTTGGACTATAAATGGCCGGGCACAGTGAGATAAGAAATCAGATTATTCCTTTGAATTATGCAGAACATTTGAATGAACTGAAATTAGTGGTAACGCCAGAGCTCTATTCAGCAGTGCTTTATAACATTGGACATTATATTGCTGGAGGTGTCCATTTGAAAATCTAATGTGGCCATGATGGTGCTCCTGCTTCCTTAGTAACTGATGCTTGACAGGACAGCTCCATGAAATAAAAGGCTTTACACTCTGCATTTTGGGGCACAAATCTGGATTTTACAGACTGTTTCACACCAGCTTTGTACAGACCAGCAAAAATCTTTTACTTTCCAACAAAATCAAACCCAAAAATGAGTAAAAGTTTGTGCTAAATTTGTGTAAATATAGTAAATGACTAAAAGACTGTGTGATATTTTATATCAACTCTTTGAAATTGGGCTCTGCTGAGACTGGTGACCTTGTCTTCTCAACCTTTGAGGGTAAAAGCTGACGTATGACACAACACTCTCATGTACTGTTATGTTTTAGCCAGTGGGATGACAAACTGAAAGCTCACTGAACCTGTTAACCTTAGCTGTGTCCTACATCCCTCCTACATACTAATTCTGTACTGACTGTTCCACATACTAATCATCATAATATGCTGCTTTAGCACTTAGTATGAAAAACCATATACTTAACTGAGTCCGTTCTTAACCCTTATACTAACATGAACTTATATACTGTGTGATATCAGAATTCCTTCAAATAAGAGCTTCCTTTCTGAGATCTTTTTAGAAGCTGTTTCACCATTTTTTTGCAATTTATTTTACTTTTTCTGTCTGTGAGCAGCTCCTTTGTTTCCTTTGTGCACTGCATTACATGCTAAAAAATTACCTGTATTAAGTACACATGTTGTCCAGATTGTGTACACCTAATAATGTCCAGTGTTAAGTCACTACATACTGAAAACTTTAGAATTAGTATGAATTTAGGAGACACTGCTTGTGTGCACTGAGCTGCAGCTACATGATTCCCTGTTAATAGGAACTGACAGGTGTGTGCAGGTATACCATAAATCAGATAATAAGACTGTCTGTAAACAAAGAAGGTGCTCGTTTACACCTGAGGCCTTGTCCATGTGATCTCTCTCAGGTCAGCTACCTGGAAAAGAAGGTGACTGAGTTGGAAAGCGACAGTCTGGCCAACGGTGACCTCAAGTCTAAACTGAAACAGGAGAACACACAACTTGTACACAGGTAGGAAAACGCACATACACACTTGTTTTTTAATGTTGGTTTACGGCTAGTCACATTTAACATGGGATATTGAATTCATCACATATCAACTGTGTGTCTGCATGCAAATATTTCACATAGATTACTTATGACTTTAATGCTTTCACTTTGCTTGTACCTCTATCTGAACTTTCTGTGCGATTGTATACTGTATATTTTTATGTGTGAAATGGTACTCCACATGTGGTTAACATGTGAAATGTACAGCATTTCATTTATGAAAGCTTAAAGTCTATGATGGCGGGATTTTCCTTTTAGGCTATATAACCTCATCCAAGAGTAACACTGTTGTCATTGTGTGTGTTCGTCTCATGCAATATTTTTTCCTCACGCTACATTTGCCTCCCAGGGTGCATGAGCTGGAGGAGCAGGTGAAGGATGCAGAGACGAAGGCAGATCAGAGTCTGGAGGAGGAGATGAAGAGGCACCGGGAAGCTTACACCAAGATGGAGAGGGACAGAAACACAGAGATAGACCTGCTCTGTAACAGGTGAGCCCTCCAATGTTAAGGGAAATTTTGTTCATATTTCAAACCCTGTAAGATGCTCGAACTGGCTTTGGCTCTGACTCAAGGTCAAAAACCAACACATCAATACCGTACTGTTAGTGTTGTCGTTATTCTGTCACCACAAACTGCCACAATTAATCACCAGAGCCTCGCTGATCTACTACATGTGAGTTCCAGTTCTGCAGGACACTAAACTAGAGCTACATGTGTTCAAACACAGGGTGCAGCAGTTGGAAGAGGAGAATGGAGACATGAAGATAAATGTGTGCAGACTCAAGTCTCAGACAGAGAAACTGGACCAGGTGAGTGTAATTCACTTGATCACAACTCACATCTTTTTGCCATTTTTGCCAGTTACAGTGAAGAAAGACAAGAGATGTAGGGAAAAGAGAGCAGCAAAGGTCTGGGCCGGCCAGGAATTGAACCGGGGTCTCACTGATTTTAACGCATTTACACCCGAAACCCAGGGGTTATTAGCTTATTATTTGTTATTATTTTCCAGAGAAAATAAATGTAAACTGTGAAAGTATTACCCGCATTCTCTGCCATCACAGTTTTCCGTTTCTGGGGTGGATTAAATTAAATTAAACTAAATTAAAACACTTGACTGTCACAACACGTGTCAGGTGTCAGTCTGGAGCTACATCTCCCACTGAAAAGGACTTGTAGCCAGTTGCTTTCTTACGTGTTGCCTGAACATACTACAAGAGGTTTGGCTCTTTTTGGCCCTCTTCAACCTCACGCAGGTCAAAGTATTGGACTGTAATTATTTTTAAAACCATGTATGTGTCACAAAAATGTAGAAATGTCTATTCTCGTGATTCCAAGGACTCATTAACAGTTAGTTCACATGTTCATTCTGAATCAGGTAAATGAGCGTTATGAGCTTCTATATGCCTTGAATCTGTTTCATCTTATTTCAAAATTGTTTCCATTACTTTGGGAATTGACATCACTGCTGTAGAATCTGCCGGTCTGTTCATATGGCTATTTTAGTCTAATTAAATCTCTGCTTTTGATGATCTGAGCCACTTTAACCTATTTAATTTCAGAGGGTTGTTTTAAGGAATTTTACGTCTTTGTGTTCTAATATTGTGATGTTGTTTTGAGACAGACACCATTATAGTTTACGTAGTTTATCTTCATCTCATCATGTGTCACAACAATGATTTTCTGCCGCCTTTTCTCTGCAGGAGAAGCAGAGGATGACAGACAAGCTGGAGGACACCAGTCTGAGGCTGAAAGATGAGATGGATCTGTACAGGAAGATCATGGACAAGCTCTGGCAAAACCGCCATGAGTTCCAAAAGGAAAAAGAGGCCATGCAGGAGGTGAGGCACTCTTTCTTCCAGACAGCTTACTTAAAAATAAATGAGCATAAAAATCACACGCTGCATGCTTGTCTTTGGAAGATAGGAATTAGATAAGTGTAATTTGCGCACAAGCCAGTGAAAAATATGTTGTAATAGCCCGCTGTAGTTAGTAGATAAGTTAGAGATAATAGATAAAAGACATTTAGCATGGGAAATGGTTAGAGGTTCATTTAAATTGAATATTTTCTCTGCAGTTAATTGATGATCTCCGCCGGGAGCTGGAGTATCTGCAGCTGTTTAAGCTGGAGATGGAGCATCCTGGGAAAGGGAAGGGGCTGTCTGAGTTCAACGCCAAGACCAGGGAGATCGAAATGGAGCACGAAGTGAAGAGGCTGAAACAGGTCGGCAAACACAGAACACACTCCTCCTTGTTCTTGTGTCCTTACAAAATGTTCATGTTTGTCATGCTTCACTGGTTGCTTCATTTCCAGTGAAGTAAACTCAGGGAAGAGCTGGGAAGATACAGACTTGAGAGTGAGAGCCAGAACAATGTATTGTCAAGTATATTAGTGCTCAGCCAGACTTACTAAAGAGTCATTAGTGCTGGTTTATTGTTTGTTTATAGTGACATACAAGACTTTGCTGTGAATCTCCTACTTCATACATGTCTTGGTCCCAGTTTTGTGCCAACCAAAATAAAACAATCCTTAAAAAAATATGTCTGAATCAAGTTCACAATAAAAATAACTGTCAACAGGTATATTGTTGACTTCTGTTACCAGCCGAACCATAAAGGCAGAATTTCCGTATTGATGAGTCTGTATCATACAGGGAGTAATGAATAATGACGGTGGTGTCACTGCCTCTGGGTCAAGAAATGTTTGAGGACAATACCTCCATAAAACCACAATGTGATGCTTTTACACTTTGCCTTTGTGCAGATTAAACAAACAAGATATGGCATGTTAGTCAGGGAGCTTTAGAGGTGCTGCTAAGTGAATTTTATTTACTTTCAACAGAGCCAGCCAAGCTGTTTTACTGTGTTTCCAGTCTCAGCCTGAGCTTTGCCAACCCGCTGCTGGCATCAGCTTCATACTTACAAACATGAGAGGGGTATCAATCTTATCTAATGCTTGGCAAGAAAAGTATTTGCCCAATATGTCAAAGTATTCCTTTAAACTCAGAAGAATAGAATGGAAGAGAGAGAGGCCCACGCAATGAACAAGTGAGCAATTTGTTCCATTAGGTGTGTTGAAAGACATAATTTGTTGCCGGTCTAAACTTTAGTAATTGAACTTACATAACTATGTACTCCATCTCATCACTGAAAGGCAATGATAACATTCAATGGGAACAATCTATTTTCATTAAACATACTATTGACTACACAAGCTCAGTTTTGTGAGACACTGTTACAGATTTCCGTGCTTTCGAATCAGACTCAGCTACATGTACATTCATCCACAATTCCTTCTGAGAAAATGTTGTGTCTGTTTGCGTCTTTAGGAGAACCATAAGCTGCGGGACCAGAACGACGACCTGAACGCTCAGATTCTCAGTCTGAGTTTGTACGAAGCCAAGAACCTGTTTGCCTGTCAGACCAAGGCCCAGTGTCTGGCAGCCGAGATCGACAACGCCTCCAGAGACGAGGTCCGTCTGTCAGTGGTGGATAAAAGGAATGCTAAGTTTTAATATGACTGCCCCTCTGACACATTTCTACCTCTCTGTCTGTTTCAGCTGGTCGACGCTTTGAAGGAGCAGGAGGAGATCAACCTGCGCCTGAGGCAGTACATGGACAAAATCATTCTGGCCATTCTTGACCACAACCCCTCCATCCTGGAGATCAAGAGTTAAACACCACACACACACACGCACACACTTGTGTTAGTGTAGCTGTGCTAATCTACCATTATGTTACTATCAGCCCACATGTTGAAGTTGTAATCCTTAAGATTTCAGTCCTGGTTGATTTGGTGACATCTCTGGCTGCTGGTGTTTGAGCTTTGTCGGAAATACAATAGAAGATCTGTTTAACGGTGCAGCCAAGCAAATTTGATTTGTTCTACAAAGTCAAAAACTGGTGTTTTCATCTTGCTATGAACGGCTACCATCTGATTTCATTCTGCAAAGTGTAAAAGTAATTTCCTCTCATAATATTTAAACTTAATTTACTGTTAAAAATGCAAAAAAAAAAAAAGATGTTTTGGAGATGCATTTTCAACAAAAACTACAAACAGTAGGAAATTAGCATTAGCAGTACCTTAACACAGCAATCAGCAGTATATTGTAACACAAACAACCCTGGATTACATTCTTCATAGTTTCCTATGAATGACGTGAGGGTTGTTTGAATGGCATACCTCACCATGAAGAAGAAAAACTACTGTACAGAACATAAAGACTGCATATGGCTATTGTTGGGTGGAAAAAAACAACATTAATAGTGACAAAATCTTGGTTTGATGTCTTGAAAATCTTAAGGATTACAACTTCAAATTGAAGCTCAAATTCTGAATGTCCTTGAAAATTGTTGCTAATGACTTTAGTTACATGGGCACTTACAAAAATGTATATCTGCACCACCACAGCAGCTGATCTCCACTCCCACCTGAAGAAAACACTTGTTTATGAGACAATCTATCTGTTGTTGTCAGTATTCTGTCCACCAGTGTTTTACCACTGTATATTTGAAACTACTGAGATTTCGGGAATGAAAAAGAAGTGGATATGCGCACACAAAAAAAGCAGAGTTGACTTTATTTCTTGTAGCCACAGTCCTGGTTGTTCAGTAGACCGCTCGACAACTACTGATTACAACTGGGCTGTCACTTACTGGGGTCCAGACTGAAACCGAAGCGAGGGACATGAAACAGTGACCTGAAAAATCTGACACTAGTATAGTGTAGCGAGTAAATGCACTTACGTGAGCCTTTTAGGTGACAACTCACGTTCTCTGTTTTGTTTTTTTTTCCTCCGCTGTGATCATTTGATTGTGTTTCCAACCCTTTAATTTGGCTGTTTGAACACAACTGAATGTTTACATGATAAATATATGCTTTATACAATTTTCTGTAGTTGTCCAAATGTTAATGTCAGTAACTATGTGAAGCCTTTAAGGGATAATTCAGTGCTGTGTCAAAAGCCTTTAACCAGTTTTTTCTGAAGACCGTTCATTATAAAGGTCTTTAAAGGTGCCAAACGCCAAGATTATATGCCAAATCTTCACATTTTTCACTGTATTCATGCACAAAAAACCTTAACAAGTGATAGTTGAAGGGGATCATGTTCTTCACGTAGAGCTGGATGTCTTACTTACATATCAGACAAATGCAACAAACGTGCTCGTATCTGTATAAAATGGAGCTGAAGAGCTGGAAACATCGTGTGGCCAGTTTTTCCCTGATGACAAGTTTGCTTACTATTTACAAGTCAGCAGATCAGGAGGAGGAGATGACTCGTTTCATTATGATTTGGTCGTTCACAAATCACCCTAAAGATGCCCCGTGGAGTTTTGAACACTAGTAGTACTATTGAGCAGTGTTTCCGTAGGTGTTTGTTGTTTGTATCATACATGGGACAAGCATGCGACTGACGGCATTTATATCCTCCCCTCAGTTACACTAAGTTAGCGACGCGTCTGACTGAATGAACAAAACTGCTAGTAAACCAACATGGACGTAAACAAGAATGTAAACAGCAACAAATCGGTGCTGCAAATATCTTACGAAGAAGGAAATGCACTCAATACATGTGTTGGATGTCTAGAATTCACCCACTGTGTTTTGGTGGCATACTGTACACTGAATGTAAATATAATTGTTTACAAGAAAACTGCATGGGGCACCTTTAAAATAAGTCGTTCATTCACTGTTTCTTACCCTTTTAAATGCACAGAAATGTTTGAAATCAGATTTTACTGACATAATAATTAGAAGCAATGAAAAATGAATATCTTTAGAAAAATAGAAATACTATATTAAACTTTGCAATATTCTTCAGTAAAATGCATCTACTTAGTGTAAGCAGCCTACTTAAAACGGACACTCCTTTGATTCTGCCGGCCTAAAACTAAGAGAACCACTTTATTGTGACTCTGCTGTAAATTAATCTCACTTCAACTAATTTAAATAAAATATTAAACTTAAATATTTTCCTCACACGTTCTTAAACCCACGGTGTGACCTGGATAAGCTAGCCAGACGCCTCAGAGGTGTTCCACAGGTCTGCACGGTGAGGAACGCAGTATTCAACTGCTACAGAGCACTATATTATGAAACATTTCAGCTAGTTTTGCCTCATTGCACAAATTGTTCATGTCGTGATTTTCTTTGTTGTTTTTGTGTTTATTCTTCCACAGGTTTTGTGCACTTGCATACGAGGTATGAAAAAAAAATATGATTTAAGCAGCTCAGCTATGATTTTGATAATTGTGTCCATTGTAAGTCAGCTTCATTTTATAATGACATTTTTACTTTACGACACAGTATTTGTGATTTCATACATTGTAAATGTTGTACAGAATCTAGTTACACTGTTTATGTGCAAGTCATTCCGCTTATTACAGAATTTTGACACAAAATATGTGTAGATTATGGTATATAGTATAGCACACTTGTGTCATAGCCAAAGTGTATTTACCTGGAACAATGATATTAAACATGGTGAGAAACAATTTGTCACAATTCACACGTGTTCACTTGGATTTCTTTTACTTGTGTACCACACATGGATTTATGGGTGACTAGATGTGTAAATAAAATTCATTTGCTTTAGCATGACAAAGTCAATCCTGATTATTTGTTCTCCAGATTAGATTTGCTGTTCTGTTGCTGAGTTGGTAAAAAACTTAACACTTGTTAGACACCATTTAACATGCGATCTGTGTCTGGATATCTAATTTGAATAAGGGAACACGCTTGGTAGTGCAGGTGTAAATGCACTCACTGGGATCAGAGTGTGATCACATCAGTCGGACCACATTAGAAGGTGGTCCGACTGACATTGTGATCAGATCTCAGCAGGTGTAAATGCAGTCCTTAAAGCCTGAACGCATTCTGAAGAGAAAAATCCAGCCACCTAACTCCACATCCTCTTTCTAACTCAAGCGCACCTGATCGGGCCTTTCATCACAGCAATTCACAGCGTTTACGGCTCATTAGGTAGACCTACTGTATCTAATACACTTCTAAAAGTAGTGTCAGGATTGGAGCCTGTTGCCTGATTAACATGTTGGTGGTCGCTTTTAAGCCCTCAGTATACCTCTGTCACATACAAACCCCCCAACAAACGTGTTAAATCTTTTAGAAAACCCTGAATATTACTCACTGAGCCATACTGTGTTGTTGTTGTTGTTGACCCACATTCTTACTAGACGTGAGAAAGCTTAAATCACTGAGTACTCCTTTGCTAGAATAAATCTGTGTCATTTAGTCTTGGCAAGTAAAAGGGTTTAAAAGTAGAATTTGGCACAGGGAACCTCTGCAGAACAGCCCCAGAACTACTGTAGGTCCACTATTGATCCTGTTTCACTGCAGATACAGTAGTTTCCTGTCAGAGGTGTAAGGAGTAACATTAACACAGCTTCTGTGCTGTTCCAGTGTGTCTGTAAGCTGCCCACATTGCAACCTTTTATTTATCTCGGGGACAATTGGAGCTGAGCGAGCCAAACAACCAGCGGGCCGTATAAGTATCCGCATCCTCAATTTGGAATTAGAATAACTCCAGAAATGCCCCATGAGACATACTTTATTCATCATAGCAGAGAAGCACTAGTGCAACTAAATATATACTTGGTGCTTCATCAGATTCTTTCCAACAAATGCTGCAGTTGTGACATTACCAGCAGAATTAACTACAGAGGCAAGAAGGAAGCATTAGGTTGAGTTCAATCTTTTATTAGAAAATGATGTATGTACATCTATTTATACTATAAGTACGTGTATTTTAAATGTTCCAGGATGTACCCTTCTTGCTGTGTTTCTGAGCTTTTTTTGGTCGACCATCTGCTGCGCTGACTAACGGTTGGTTCCTGCTTTACGTATTATTTCTGGTGTGTCAGACTTTCCTAAGATGAGCTGTTTTTGCGGCTGTGTTCTCCAAATGCATCAAACTGACACCTTTGACAAAATGTGACGATTCCCAACACTAAGCTGGACATAAAAACATATATTATTCCAGCCCAACTACATTAACACCAAGGATGCAAGCACAATACAAATGGCTGCATTCTATTTTCCAACACATGCAATTATGAAACATTTACAAATGTCATTTAAAATCATAAGACACTGGTGAGGCACTTCTGTTCACATTTATCCACATGTAGTCTGTTGGGGGGTAGGGGGCTCACCTGCTGCTTTCAGACAGCAGGTGTAACCATGACTCACACTCAAGTCATAGCACATTCATATCAGACTGTTAAAGCATCAGGAGCCGCCCCATTGAGTTTCAAAAGTGCTCTGCAGGAAGAGCCAGAGAGCGAAGAAGAAAACTTAATATCATTTCACACTACAACAAAGCTGGCCAACCACTGTGTCAACAAGGCGTGTTTGTTGGATTGTAAGGTTCATAGGGTTACAAAAATCGTTGACGAAGGTGTTTTCTGTCCTTGCTCATCCAGCTGACAATCCATGTTCAGTCCATGTCATTCATTGGACATGGTGTCTCATTTACAGATAATAATTCTACCGACGTATATTCATGAATGTACATTAAAAACATTGCACCTTTTATTCACACAAGTAGAGGCAGGGATATGTGAGAACGAGGGAGTAACGGTGTCCTGACTGATTTGAAAAGACTTCTTGGATGGGACTGGTGCATCTTAAGGCACACGACTAAATGGAATAACTACCAAAAAGTGCAACCAGAGTAGTGGGTTCTTCCATGTGTGCTAGTTAAACATTGGTCCCAACACACTGCACCTTTGGTCAGGATCATTGAGTGAAGCCAGTGAAGAGATCTAAGCCTCTTTGTCATGGCCAGCAGGGGGCGACTCCTCTGGAAGTCTGATTGTGTAGAAGTCTATGAGAAAATGACCCGACTTCTCCTTTACTTGTTACCTCAGTAAACATTTTCCCAATTAGTTTATGGTTTCCATCGCTGGTTTCGCATCTCCTTCCATACCACATGGTGTTCATTTTGCTAAATATCATTCTCATTTAGAATAAAACGGGGCTACCGTGTAATTGCCTCCTTGGCTTCTCAGTCAGTTCCATCATTTACTCATCACATCTGGCTTCTAAACATCAGGATGGCAAACTATAAGTAAGACAAATGCCGAACTTAAGCCTTCAGATCAGCTTTTATTTCGTCTGTAGTCATAATCAAGTGTTTAGTTTTTAGTTATACCTGAGGGTTCTCACCAGGTGAGCTGGATTAAACACCAGAAATGCCGTAGAACCAGTCTGACATGTGCAGTCAGTATCCAACCACAAAGAAACAATAATATTTTGCTGTTAAAAGGGTGGTGCTGGCAGTTGCTGTGGTTTGGTTTACTTACATAGTTTTCTTTTGGCTTCATTGGACCGTGACTTCTGATGCACGCTGCAGGTGAAATAAAGATGTTAGTCTCAGGCTGACAACTAGCAAACCTATAACAAGTCTGCACGGTCACAAACTCTGACAGTTTAGCAAATAAAATGAATGTGATCACTTGACATGGAGCCTGGTCTCACTGCTCCTGTGCATTTAAGTGAACCAGACAAATTATGGCACCTAGAAAAGACGCCACTTCCTGGAGACAATTTGAAAATGGAAAAATACTTGACGTCTGCCTTCCTCTGTGATCGGACAGTCTACCAACAGAAAAGCAAAAGAACAATACCGTGTTGTGTGTTGCTGCACCAAACCTGAAGGATTTCTGAAGCTTTGGGCTTGTGAAAAGTAGAATTTTACAGTTTTGAGCAGGCGGCTGGAGGGTGGTTATTATTCCATCCCCGGTGCTAGAAAACTGTGCTGAGTGAACCTTGATTGTGGCATTGAGCCTCAACACGGCGCTGCAAAGAGGCTGATTGTGCACTTCAACCTCAACTGAAGCGTTTGTTCAGTCGGAGGTTGAGCTTAGCAGCGCATAAATTATTGCCAGTAATGTTTCGGTCATCAGTCTCCCAATACAAGAGGTTTCCAAGGTCAACCACTCGTTCGATTTGGTTCTTTTTATGACGAGAACTTTAAATCTCTATCGTAGATTTCAGATTCTGAAAGCACATTTTTCAAGTGCCTGATAATAAAGGCAAGGTAAACCTGCAAACCAGAACAGGTGGGCAGAGTTTATTTTTTATGATTCCCAATTTAATTATCATCTCTGCAATAAAAAAAAACAGCCATGTAAATGATTAACAGCCAGTGAACAGGTTAATCCCCCAAACGCCGATGATTTATTTATAGAGGTGCCTTTGCTGCTTGACTTAGTGGAATAAATTGGATTAAATTTAATTTAAAATGATCCTCAGGCAAAAAGAGGAGAAATATTTTTGGTCAATGACTTTAAATTAAAGCATTGTTAGTGTTGTCAGGATAGATAAAGGTTCATACAAACACTTTACAACATTTTTACTCTATTTAAATACGCTTTAGACATAATTAGAACGGAGGTAGAATTAATACAGTAATCAATACAGTAATGCAATGTATTTGTCATCCATTACAAATGTGACTTCACTTAAAGTATCAGCAGATTGTTCATCAAGTGTCAGACGTAAAAGCACTCATAATGAGGAAAAATGTAATTCAGCAGAAATGTTGGGAACGTTGACATCCTAAAAACCTCCAAACCATCCTGAAGCCATTGAAGGAGACAGACGACAATCAAAACCATTGCTTTTCATTCTCTGGACAATTTTCAGGAAACAACCAAAATGTACAATCATGTGTTTTTCTTTTCCTACAACCATTTTTGTTTTTTACTTTTATGCAAATTAACGCAGATTTAATGGAATAATATCCTATTTATATATTTAAAAAATTAGGTTTCAGAAAACAAATGAATAATACAAAATGTAATTGACTTAATGTAGCAGTCAGCTGGGGATGTTTCATGTTGATATCTGTTCGTTTCAAAATGTTAACACTGGTTTCTAATTAAAATGTATTGACTTTTACAGTCCACAGCCAGTTCTCCACTTCTGTAGCCCTTACACTAAACCTTTCTAACTTTATATTATATTAAGGTTTTTACTGTTGACAGAATTTTCCGATTGATGTGGTGATACAAATAGATATCCACAATTCCCTCTGTAAAAACCTTTGATATTAAAAGGAAAAGGAAAGTTAGAATAGAAGAAGAATAGAATAGAATGCCTTTATTGTCACTATACACATGTACACTGAGATTAAGAGCAGCTCCTTCAGTGCAACATAGAATAAAGAACAAAATAAAGAGCAAAAAATAAAATAGAAGAGATTTAAATATAAAATAAGATAAGTTGTATATACAGTATAAGTTATATGTACAGTATGAAGCTGGCCTTATCCAGTGTTCAGAGTTCTGCTCTGGAGAGTCATGTAAATCAGGGCATTTTACATAGATAACACCTTGATTGCATGTTAAAACTGTAATTAAAAAACTTGTAATATAATAAATACTTATCTTACTATAAGTAGTCAAATGGGAAACTTTAATTGTGATGTCTATTACTTTGCCTATTTGTGAACCTGT